TAAAGGCACGGTATTACCAAGCCGGAGGCGGTGGGCTCGATTTCCGGTCCGGTCGAAGGAATCTTTCGGGTTGGAAATTTTCTCGACTTCCCTGGGCATAGAGTATCATTGTTATTACCAATATACAAATTCATGCATTGGTATTGGCATCGAAAGCTCTCAATTAATAACTGTGGAAGTGCATTTAGTAAAACACTAAGTTGAGAGCACGCAATAAGCTTGATATGCGAAAAAGAAGAAGAAGGATTATCATTCACATTTGTGCTTTTCCAGGGTAATTTTTAGAAAACATTTGAAAAAAGGATTAAAACACAAATATGTCAAAACTTCCTTGTCCAGTTTAAGAGATGAACTAGCCTATGGCTAAAAATCTCTATAATAAAGTATTAAAAAAAAAAAACCTTGTCCAGTTTTAAAATTTTGTTTCATTTTTTGGCAAATGAAAACTTCTGATACTTGAATACTTGCAAATTGACAAAAGCGGAGAACAACGACAACTTATGGTAAAATTTCTTAACTTTTAGTAAATACGCTTTCTTTTTATGAAATTTCAACAGAAAACAATATTTTAAACATTTTACATCGTTTTCAGTGCACAAATTACACCACAAGTGCAGTAAAATTATGTACAAAAATATGGCTTAAAGTTGTTGTTCTACGATTAGAGGCTGTTCATAAACTACAGTTTAGGGGGGGTTGGCAATTATCCACGGCTCATACCAGCTACAAATTTTATGAAAAACATGCATTTTATTTTCAAAACTAAAAAGTTTGTTTTTCTATAACAATAAAGACTAAAGAATTTACAGATTGCATTTATTGTTATAGAAAAACTAACTTTTTTAGAGTTGGTTGGAAATGCTAACATGAAGCTTTAGTGTGATGATTTATTAGCTAGAGAATGATCTTTTTAGAAGAGGGTAGGTGGATAGTTCCGTTAGAGTACGGCAGTATGAAAATTGAATAGAAGTTGAAAATGAGCGAAGGGCCATTAAAGCGACAGTTTTTCAAGATGACGCACATTTTTGCCTAGCCCGTACGATGTACGCGGGGACTTGAAGTATGTCTCCAAGTCCACAGGCAAAAATGTGCGTCCCTCTTGTTGCTCATAAACTGACTGCGGCTGTGGAATAGTTCTAGCGACGTTTTCATCACTACCTAAAGCCCCACGTTTTGCGAGAGCATTTCCAGTCGATGGTGTGTTATAATGCAGTTCTTCTTTACCCAACTATTGTGTTGCTCCTCTCGTCATGACCAACGTGATCATCTCAGAGAGGAAGCAGTAGGGTGGTTGTTGCGTGCTGTACCATCATCAGCATTGTTGACGGCTACTTCCGCCTTGAGTTGTTACATTCAAATTACACATTTTTGCCTGTGGACTTGGAGACATACTTCAAGTCCCCGCGTACATCGTACGGGCTAGGCAAAAATGTGCGTCATCTTGAAAAACTGTCGCTTTAATGGCCCTTCGCTCATTTTCAACTTCTATTCAATTTTCATACTGCCGTACTCTAACGGAACTATCCACCTACCCTCTTCTAAAAAGATCATTCTCTAGCTAATAAATCATCACACTAAAGCTTCATGTTAGCATTTCCAACCAACTCTGAAAATCGTTAACTTCGCGTATGAAGTAACATAAAAAACACTTTGAATGTAACTTTTTTATTTTTGAAAATAAAACAGCAAATTTGTAGCTGGTATGATTTTAAACAACTTTGCTCAAGAAACCTTTTTTCCAGCTCTTGCCGTTCTCATTTTGGAGCAATGTTTCTTAATTGACTGAGGGTGGTCCTTGAAAAATTCAGCTTTTTAGCTCTATTTTTTCCGTGAATGTCAACTTCGGATGATGATTGTTGAAATGCACATTTTTGCCCCGTTCGCGTTCACTGATGTACAAGATGTAAATTTAGCTACACCTATCAAACTTAAGATAAATGCACTAGGACTTTTGTCTTGCTAAACTCCCATCCTGGACCACTGTGCATTGTTCTACGACAAATTTAAGAACAGGATATTTTTATCGATGGGCCTAATCTTTAGATCCACAGGCTAAGATAACAGTCATTTCTCCTATTCCTTAAATTCTTGCCTAGGTTCCCATTATAACCATACTATAAGTTATAAAAAATATGGGTGCAAGTTAAACCTGTTCATTTTAACAGAAATGTTCGGGATGCACCGTGATTACTGTTCGTCATGTTAATTTGAACTTAGCAAAATCGGTGATGATTTAGAGGTGCTTCAAGTATCTCGAGACTGAAACAATGAAAACTGCTGTAACAACTTTAATAGCAAAGCTTCATGTGTTATCTACCATTTTTGTGACCAAAGGTTGACTATTCGATGTGATTTTATTGAAGTTTGACTTAGTTTCATGCTCGAAGATATCTTAAAAAGTGAAGAATTTTGAAGTATTTGTTCTACAAACTTTCCACCCATATGATATAAAAATGTGTAGTCTACGGGATAATGTTCCTTATACTGTTCTAGAAAATTCGTTCGTTTTCGTGTAGATTTCATAGATTGAGAGATAAAAATCAGAAAAGAGGCCGTTATAGCTAAAATTCACAAGACAACAGAGTCAATAAAAGTTTCAATTAGATTGACAGAACATAGTTGCATTGCTTTTCAATGACGACCGATGACTGTTTCATTGATAGATGATATTTTTAGAAATATGAATCCTCAGTATATGTGTTTTTTTTTTATCAAAGGTAAGTGTCAATCGAGCCATCACAGCAATTTATAAAATAACGAACATTTTGGATGGCTTGAGTGACACTTGCGTTTGATAAAAAAAAACACGTCTACTGAGGATTCATATTTCTAAAAAAAATTATCTATCAATGAAACAGATAGCGAGAAACTACTTCTGAAAGAGAATTTCTTATCTCCAGGAAATGTTAAGATTTCTATATGAGTACCTCAAACCGAAACAGAACTACAGATATGTCATTGCTATACTTCAGAAATCTGATAGAAATCGTCTAAGCTTGTTGAGAAAGTGCCAAAATGTCTGAAATAATTCCGCTTTTTCGTGAAATACTAAAATTTCTCGGGCGAGAATGCCAACATTATTGGAATTTTTCAGGAATTCTTGGGAGGATATTCGTTTAAAATTCATTAGTGCCTTGCAATGATTTTAAATAAATTAAATAAGTTTAAAAAATAACCCGCTGCATTTATCAAACGCAGTCGATGAATGCTAAAGTTTTCCAGACATTTTTGTCACGGCCTCATTCTAAAAAAAAAACTGATTTTACTGATTCCAAAGAAAAGTAGAGGAATTTACGTATTTTCGTCAATCCAAGCAGCGTCCGCACTTCTATTAGAAATTTCTCAGCGTCCGGCACACATATTACGGGTTCGTTTGATTAAATTTATCAGCTGTTTGCTATTCTATCCATTGCGATCGACAGATTTGTCCAGATCGGGTTGAAAACGTTTTTACAACGCTCCAAACTTCTCAGGTGAGTGTGACTATTGTCAGCAACCTCTTTTTCTATTTGAATTGAGTGCTAACCAACGGTTCTATTATCGGCAACTCGAAATCCGCCGTATTTTGTAATGCGTATATTTTATTTGAAGACAAACCTGACATAATAAATAGTCGTAAAAATGTTATCAGAATGAAGCTGAAAGACTAAAAAATCGTTTAAACAAATTCAGCGTAGCGTATTTTTGTGAGAAAATACAACGAAATTAACGTTTAAATTTTCGTTGCCGGAAACAGTCAATGGGTGCCGAAGCCAACATTTACCCTACCAAAAATTCCAAAAGACAAGCCGCAATTATTTGCATTACTCTCAGTACTACTCTAAAATGCATTAACTAACTCAAACACTTTCGCTTGTATTTTAACTCCGATGCACTGGTTTATTGCATGCACCTTGGAAAACATATTAAAATACGCCGTAATGTATGCAAAAGCTTTCCAAAGAGTTCTGATTATTGATTTAAATCCAGCGACCCCAAATTGAGTAAAGTACGCGATATTATTTTGTGGCGGATCCTTGCAGAGTGTACAAGTGGCCATCATGATTACTCCCTGAGCAGAAATCAGGGATACTATTACTACATCGCACATCGTACTGCCGAAAACGTGGAATAGCATTTTCATTGTTGTTCGTTTTGTGGAAGCAGATATGTGTACTCTTGATGTATCGAAGTGATAATGAGATCGATTAGATATAAAGTTTCCAAAGTGATTTTAAAAAACAATCGCAAATTGCCATCTATTTCTGGAACTTTTGCATGGCAAAATAATCGCATTAAGCAATGTGATACCGTAAAAGATCGCTCCTAATATTATCACATAAAGTCTTCGTCACAACGAAATTTGCCGCCGCAAATAACTGAGTATCATTGTAGGGGAAATGGGGGTAAAATGCCCATTACCATCAGGCGTGAAGCTTTTATATTCAATAGAGAAAGAACAAATATTAAGCCCAGATGTATGCTTCCGTGGCATGAAATTAGTATGCGTATTTTGACCCGCAGTGTTTTGAAAACAGGTTTTGTAGGTATTTTCAATTTCACCAATTTAAACAAGAATTCATTAATTTTCGTTAAGAACATCAATTGTAATACGTTGTCTACAACAAATAGATGGTATTGCACTTAAATATCGATTCACTTTGAGGATCAAACAGGGATCTTTATCATATAAATTAGCATAATAGGCCGATTTTCATACAAACTAGCCAACTTTGAAACGCTTCCGATAATTTGATATTACGTGCACGCAAAATTCAGCATATTTGTAGTTCTGTGTCAAAATTTCAGCTCAATTGATTATAACAAAACATAGTAGAAGCATGCCAAAGTTGGCTAGTTTGTATAAAAATCGGCCTATTGTGCTAATTTAAAGGCCACCACTGTACCATATATCGTTATATAAATGGTTCCAGGTGGGCCACAAAAGCCACTTTCTTAGAAGAACACGCTGCATCACACTTTCATGTGAATCGATTTGACAGCTTCTCTTTCCATTCCAGCCGCTTGGGTGCCAGAGTTCACCGGTCGCAATGGCCAGCAAAATGTCCAGGTGGAAGCCATCCGGTACATCATCGGAGCCCCCGACTGTGGCAGCATGCAGAAGTGGCCCATCTTCCACTACGAAAATGTAAGTTGACCTTGCCCCCTCCTCCTGCTTCATCTTCATCACCGCCATTGTGCAAAGGCACATTAATATGGGATGAAGAATCTTTTCAGCCATCAGACTTTGATATCAAAGGGTGTCTCAACCGAACAAAGCCCTCCGCTCTGTTAACGATGATGATGTGACTGCTGATGCTATTGCTGGCTGATAATGTTGCCACTGGGGCAGGAGCTAAACCTCAGCTGCAGCAGATCACACATCGTCAGACAAGCGTTAAATTACTTGCTCAAACAGTGTTTGCTCATTTTCTCCGTCTGTCTCTTCCCTCCGCACAACGACAACAATGCCCAACCAACACGCATAGAGTGAGGATAAGTTGATTCTCTTCCCGGACGGTAAGGTGCGACACTTGATACTGGACCCTCACGCCCGGAATGAACCGGAAGACGAGTGGAATCACCTGTATACGGCCGGCATCCATACCGAGGCCCCGTTCCAGTACGACTACGAACAGGGCCAGTACTGTTTGGACAAGGGTCTGAGTAACATCAAAAAAGAATCGGAGGGAATATATGCCACTGTGTGCTCACCGGAGAAGGCCATGCGATGGACGGACACGGACTTTTTACTGCGGAAGATTATTAACCCGATATGTCACGGGATGGCGATCGTGATACTGCTGCTGGTGGCAATAATCTACTTTGTGCTGCCCACGTTAAGGTGAGTGTCTGGAACTGGATGGGTTCAAATGCGATAGCTTTATCAATGCTCTAATCTTTTCAGGGACCTGGTGGGCAACATCGTCACCTCCATTACGGTGTGCCTGATCATCAGCCAAGCGGCGGACCTGGTCCGGATATTCACCGAATTTGGCAATCACGTCAGCTTCGTCATAGCGGATTCGTTCTTCTACATCAGCCTTCTGGCCGCATTCTTCTGGCTTAACAGTATGGGTTACTACATCTGGAAAACTTTCCGGGCACGAAATGTCTTCCTACGGGTCACCGATGGTCGGAAGTACTGTTGGTACTCCGGTTACGCTTGGGGTGCCACGGCTACCATGGCATCGGTGGCGATATTCTCGCACTTCTTCCTGGACGGTCCGAACGCGAAGAAGAATTCCAGCATCTTCGAAAACCAGGACAACATCGGTTGGTTAGGCATTGCCGTATTTTTCACCCCGATTGCCTTTATCATTCTGATAAACATCTTCTTCTACGTCACCACGCTGAAGTTCATCAACCGGATGAACACTTACGGCCGGATACACCACAAACTGAGGGGAAAGTAAGTCTTTGGGTCACTGCTGAAACACATTCCAAACCAATCTGACAAAACCTTCTCTATCATTCCAGCTTTGTAATGTTCTCGCTCATCTTCATGATCATGAGCATCTCATGGTTGTTCCTTATTCTGTCCTGGCTTCACTATGACGCCCTGCTCTACACCCACATCATCGTCAATGCTCTGCAGGCGCCAGTCATCCTGTACGTTTGTGTCCTCCGGCAGAAGCACGTAACCTTTCTGCTGAAGAAATCCTGCTGCTACAATGAACCCCCGCAAACGTCGGACTGGGGCGATGAAATGACCTACATGAACGGAGGCGATTACTGACCCGGAGCTTCCGGCGGAAGTCGTCGTCGAACCAATCTCGTCGAGATGGGCATCTTTAGGAAAGAATCTCCTCCTCTTCCCGCCGCCGAGAGAAAATCGACGGACTCGAAGGAGCAAAATGGAAACGGAAAGTTAACACATTCCTCTGAATCTAAGATTTGTGTAGTTGCCGGAACGGATTAACATTATTCACCGTGGCTACACGAGAAAGATATTCTAAGTATTTCACAGTTTAGCTTTAGCATTAGGTGCGCTGTTGTTCAAAGTGAAATGTTGTGTCTTTGCGAAGCGATGAAATCGAATTGAAATCTACGACGTGTTGTTAGATTAGTGTTAAGGAAGACGTAGCTTAGCTCTTAGAATAAATGTAAACACTCAAAAATGGTTGACTAACATTTACAAAGACTCAGTAGTAGGAATAGTGAAGTAAGTAGGATAACAAGACAAGTGCTTAGTATAACAAATAACCTAATTGATACATGTACAATAGTTCAATTGTTTTATACGAAAGAAATTGCCATTCATCCTGTGACATCCTAGACGTTTCGCACTGGTGTACGTTCTACATAGCAAAATTAAAAACTGCACAAGCCTTTTTTCAAGGGGAATGAACTACATTTTGCATGCATAAACTTTTTAACTTTTTCCAATTTTTGTTGGGTATAACTAATGATTCGTAATGAGCGGGGACGGACTCGTGTATGATTGTTTTAGAGATGTAAGGTGCTCGGTGGCTCAATAGTAACCCTTTTTGCTTACTGGGCAGACAATCGTGGGTTCATTCCCAAACTCCTTTACATCCTTTACATCGAAATGATTGATCGAATCGTTAACCAAGACGTGTCCTCGCCAATTACATACCCTTATCGCTTCCTTTGATGGTCGTGGAAGTGCTGATAACTTCCCGGCTTTAAATAAAGCGAGTATCACTTTGGCACCGCTTGTTGACGACATGAAAAAACTGGAAAAAGGCGTAACAGTTTATGTTGGCCAACAAAAGTATGTTATACTAGGGTGCTTCATTCTGAAAAAAGTGATGAATTTCTGATGGGCCACCCTCCAGTTCGATTCATAGCCCCAAAATATGAACCTGTGCAAAAATTGGTAAAGATTGATGAAGGTTTAGAGGTCGCGCCAATGATTTGAAATTTGTATGGGAATTACTATGGAAGAATTTAAAAAATCGCTTATATCGCTATAACTTTGCTTCTACTTGTCCAAATGTCGAAAAAATTTAGTATGTTATTGCTATGGCAATAAACAAAAAGCCTACAGTTGCTACGCTCAGTTTTGCAGCGTATCAAGAATTATAAAAATGTGAAAAAATGGCAAAATAGGGTAAATTGACAGATGAATATGTACAAGGCAACAACGCCAATTTCATCGCAACAACAACAGGCTTGTTGATCATTGTCATGACAACCACATATTTTTTTTTTCAACGTTTGGACAACTACAACCAAAGTTAGAGCAATGTAAACGAAAATCAATAATTTCCCATACTAATTCACCAAAATCTCCATACAAAATCCAAATCATTGGCGCGACCTCTAAACCTTCATCAATCTTTACCATTTTTTGCACAGGTTCATATTTTGGGGCTATGAATCGAACTGGAGGGTGGCCTATCAAAAATTCATCACTTTTTTCAAAATGAAACACCCTAATGTTATACGTGCTGCAGTAATCGTTATGGCTGGAGACACTTTGGCGATTCATGAGGTATTTGGTCTATTATCACCATCAGCTAGTTTTTTTTTGTCGCGAATGTTTGATAGTCCGTTCTAAATTTCATGAGAATCCTTTTGAGAATAAATATTATTTACGATATGGGACATGGTACGACGATAAGCTCCAGAAACTTAGAGCAGTTGAAATATCAGCAATTGAATGTGGACTGAAACCATCCGGATGTGTTCTAAATGAATTGGGAACCTTTCATGTAGTAGACAATCATCTGTTTGATGTGATGCATGATCTTGCAGAAGGAGTAATACCAATCACTCTGCAGTACGTCCTTGCTCACTACTATCGAAACAAGAAACTCAAACTCACCGTAGACTTTATAAATCATCGCATCAAAACTTTTGACTATGGATTCCGGGACCAAAAAAATAAGCCATCAGCCAACATTACCGCCCAGATGTTCCTGCAACCAAAGGCTCACAAGCTAAGACAAACAGCATCGCAATAGTTACTGCTTTTGAGAGCCTTTCCTTTTCTTTTCGGACATAAAGCTACACACGATTGTGAGTTTATGAGTCTTATAAATGTGCTTATTGAAATTACACTAATAGCCTTTTCGCCTACAATTTCCGATTTCCTGTTGGTTGAATTAGAAATGTCTATAACTGTTTTCCACAATATGATTTTCAAATTGTTTCAATGCCACCCAAGCAAAATCCATCACCTTATTCATTATCCGGAGAGTATCAAACAAGTTGGACCACTCGCACAGTTCGATTGCCGTGTGTTTGAAGGAAAAAAATAAGGGTATTAAGACACAAATGAATGCTGCTCGAAACTGTTGGAGGTAGTAACCTAGCAAGCGACGAATAATCGAAGCAACCTACAAATAAATGTATTCTCATAGTCTGAAATAAAATGCCATCCCATGTTTGTCTCTCATCAAGCTAAGACCTATTTTCAAGTAGTAGTAAATCCGGTCTACGGCCATATCACATTCAAGAGGTTTTGGGCCCGAAGAAGTTCAAGATGGAAAGATCCGGAATAACGAAGCTGACGAACGAAAACTACGAAACCTGGAAGCTGGAGGTGGAATTCCTGCTGGTTCGCGAAGGACTATGGAAGTACATCGTGCCCGGAGTCAAGCCGGAAGAGGCTGCAAACCGAGTGAACGCGGCGGAGCTGATTGCCTGGGACGAAGGGGATCAGAAAGTGCGTGCGTCCATTGGGCTGCTGCTGAGCAGGAGTCAACACGGCCATATCCGGGCTACGAAAACCGCAAAGTAAGTATGGAAGAATCTGGAGAAGCAACATGAAAAGAAGTCACTAACGTCGAAGGTTCACCTGCTGAAGCGGATTTGCGATCTCAAGTTTCAGGAAGGAGACGACATCGAGGACCACCTGGTAGAATTCGAGAGTTTGTTTGAAAACCTGGCCAACGCTGGTACGAAGCTCGACGTCGATTTGCAGGTAATCCTGGTGTTCCGGAGTCTACCAAGCTCTTTCGACGCGCTGACGACTACCCTCGAAAATCGGTCGGAGGACGAGCTGACGCTGGTCCTTGTAAAGGATAAAATTATCAATGAGGCGAAAAGGGACTGTTCCAGCGGATTCAGCGGTATTGAAGGTGGCCGGGAAATCGAAATCCATTGTGTGCCACCACTGCCAGAAGGTCGGCCACAAGAAGCGAGACTGCAGAATTTGGCAGAAGCAGAGCCAGGATGAAGTTTCTCGAAGTGAAAAATCGGTTGCCAAGGAAACCAAGAAGTTTGCCAAGCAACAGGCAAATGCAAGAAAAACGGAGTCCACTGAAGAGGATTTCGTTTTCAGCGCTCGTGAAGGACCAGTGACGAAATGGATCGTGGATTCTGGAGTCAGCTCCCACATGTGCGCCAATCGAAAGTTTTTCGTATCCGTTGAGAAACCACGAGATGATATCCCAAGTTTCGTTACTGTCGCTAATGGGAAGAAAGCATTCGTGAAAGGTGTGGGGAACTGCCAGATCCATTGCTACGGGAAAGACAGCGAAGCGAAGCAAATCGTGCTCACCGGTGTCCTGTACGTCCCAGATCTGGATATGAACCTCGTTTCCGTCGGGAAACTCGTCCAGAAAGGCGCAGCGGTAGAGTTCAACGACAATGGCTGTACGATTGTCAAAGGTACACGGATTGCGGCTGTAGCAAGGCGTAGCAACGGTCTCTACCACTTGCAGACGGAGGAACGCGTGGGTACGGCAATTGAGCATTGCAATAAGAAGAACTGTTTGCATGACTGGCACCGTAAGCTCGGTCACCGTGATGTCAAGGCAGTCCAAGAACTGGAGCAACGACAATTGGCGACGGGCATCAATATCCAGCAGTGCGGTTTGGTTTTGCCTTGTGAGACCTGTCTGCAGGGAAAGATGGCACGACTGCCATTTCCAAAGGAAGCAACGAAGAAAACGACGGCTGTGATGTACCTGGTACACAGTGACCTGTGTGGACCAATGAGGACGGTGACCCCGGGTTGTCGTCGTTATTTCCTGACGCTTATTGACGACCACAGCCGGTACACAACGCTGTATCTGATGCGAGAAAAATCAGAAACATTTGACGCTATCCAGGACTATGTGCAGAAAATGAAGACGAAGTTTGACAGACCGCCGAAAGTGCTGAGATCCGACCAGGGAGGCGAATATCGTGGCTCGAAGATCATGACGTTCCTCAAGCGTGAAGGTATCCAGCAACAATTTACGGCAGCATATTTACCGCAGCAGAACGGAGTCGCAGAAAGAAAGAACCGTTCCTTGGTGGAGATGGCCAGGTGTATGCTTTTGGAAGCAGGTATGCATAATCTCTACTGGGGAGAAGCAATCAACACAGCAAGTCATCTGCAAACCATGTTGCCAACGAAAGCGGTTAATCAAACTCCGTACGAGATTTGGCATGGAGTCAAGTCGGACGTTTCGAACCTGCAAGTGTTCGGAACATCAGCATACGTATTTATTCCTGAAGTCAAACGATCGAAACTCGAATCCAAAGCCGAAAAACTTACTTTTGTCGGCTACTCGTTGCAACACAAAGCGTGGCGTTTCATCAGCATGAAGACGAACAAAGTGACGATTAGCCGGGATGCCCGATTCCTGCCTTCGATGATCGACAAGGGGGAAATTTCCACAGAGGACGAAGGTACGTTATTCTTTCCGTTATCGCTATTCAATCAAAACCGTAGTGAGACGGATACACCGGAGGAGCTGAGACAACCTGAACCAGCAATCGATCGTGAAATCATGGAAGAGGAAGATCTCCACGGTGTTGAAGAACATTCGGATGAAAGCGAAGATGCTGATGAAGCAGAAGCACTCGATGGAGGTGAGTCACAGGAGGAGCCGGTACCAATCCACGTAGAGCAAGATGTAGGTACACAGTGACTATCAACCAGGGTGACGAAGGGTATTCCACCTCAACGCTACTGTGCCGACAGTCGGGTTGCACATCACGACAATGACGAGCCGCGCACCTATCAAGAAGCTGTGACTGGTCCGGAGAAAGACATGTGGAAGTAAGCCATACAGGATGAATTGCAATCGATGTACGAGAACAACGTGTGGGAGTTGACCATGCTGCCGGCTGGTAAGAAAACCATTGGATGTCGCTGGATCTTCAAAAAGAAAACGGACGAGAATGGAAGGGTCATCCGGTACAAGGCGCGGTTTGTCGCTCAAGGGTTTACGCAGAAATATGGAGTCGACTACGACGAAGTTTTTGCTCCCGTGGTGAAGCAAACAACGTACCGGACACTAT